TCCAAATACCTCCCATTCTCAAGGGCTCAGCTGTGCACCCCCTCCTCCAGGAAGCCTTCTTTCCTAACCCTCCCCGCCCTCCCCTCCTGGGAACTCCCATGACTACTCTTCTCCGTGCCTCCTCTAGAGCAGCTGGGACAGGCAAGTATTATTACTTGCGTGATGTCCTCACAGCCAGCCCAGAAGACACTTATTTTAAGACTAGGTCATGAGTGTCTCCTTTCCTTCCAGTGACAGACCAGATTGTCTGCATTGGAACTGCTTAAAGAGATTAGTATTTTGGATTATTATACTGGCTGATCTTTCCCAAGAAAAGAAAGGAAAGTAGCATGCTGTGAGCTCCTACTATATTCTAAGAACCATCACTGACATGATCAGAGTTTATGCTGCATACCGTGCGGCCAGCTGATGAGGTGAGTTTTATGATTTCTATTTCAGAGATCAGGAAACGGAGGGTCTCAGATGTACGTAAATATCTCAGACACTTGGCTAGTAAGTGGAGGAGCTGAACTTCAAATGCAAATGGGTCTGTAGGGACAGCTAGTCTCCAAAGATGGCCCAACAGAGGCTCAAAGAGCCCAGAGCCCATATTCATGCCCTGCCTGGTCCTTCTCCTCTGAATCCTGGCTGGCCTTGTGATTTGTGCTAACCAATAGAAAGAAAGTGAAACCATACCAGTCCTGGGTTCAGTTTTAAACAGAACTGGCAGCTTCTACTTGTACTTTCTTGAGACACACTCACTTTTGGCAGGCTTCTGCTGCCATGGAAGAAATCCAGCTATGCTGCTTGAGAGATCCCATAGAAAGGGTCAAGGCCAGGCCCTGAGACCACACAGAGAGGGAGAAAGGCCCACGCCCAGTGACCCAGTATCTAAGTCAACTGCTAGCTGACTTACAACCACACAAGGAACCCCAAGCAATGAAATAGAACTGCCCTGCAGAGCCAGTCACCCACAGAACTGAGCCCGTGGAACCCGAACAGATCATAAAAATGGTGGTTGTTTGAAGCCACTGTTGTAGAGTGGTTTGTTATGCAGCAGTAAATGACCAGAACCCTGTGTAAGATGAGCTACTTCCCTCCGCATTCCCATGCCTGTTTCTCTTATGCACTGGCCAGTTTCCAGTCCCATCTTAAGGCAGCAAATGCATTATAAAAATGGTCTGTGGAACACCCACTTTGCTCTTCTATCTGCTGTGCTTTCTCAACCAGCAGCTGCAAAAAGTGGGAAGCTTTTGGTTTGGAGGCTGAGCCTGCAGATCCCAAGGTCTGGGGTCTTACTGTGTAGTGGGAAAGAACACAGAAGGACTGGCTGTTGACCTTGGTTGAGTTCCTCCACATATCTGAGTTGTAAGAAAAAGATTGCTAATGACTCCCTTGCATAGGGATTTAAATGAAGGACTGCTAATAGCACCCTTTGAATGGCACTTGGCATGCATCAAACATCCAGTGAATGGTGCTCATCAGAGGCTGGGGGTTTGTCCTACTAGTGACAAGGGTCTTGTTCCACACTTTCCATGTTAGCAAAGACCTAGAAAGTAGAGGTCAGGCTTCTGTGCATTTAGAGCTATGCCAGAGCTTCCTGGGTAAAAGCAGCTGCTGTTTGTTGTCTCTGTTTATGAAGAGGGAGGTGGAGGCTCAACATGAAGGCAGGACCCCAGACCTTTGGGATATGCAGGCTCAGCCTCCAAACTAAAAGAACATCATGGGATCCCAAGAAGGCAGAGGCTGAGTCTCATTAATCAGCCCTACAATCCCAGAACGTGGCATGTAGTTGGTCTAAATTCAAAGAAGACCCAGAATTATTTTCCTATTTTGTTCACTGCTCTATTTCCTGCATGTGTTAGGTGTTCGGTAAATATATGTTGAATGCGTGAATGTGAGAATGAATGAATGTTGCACTGCCTGTAGCCAACACTATACTTGGCTATCCCAAGCCATTCCCTCCTTTTTCCTTGCTAATGGAATCCTGATACGATTCAGGTGCCAACGGGCTGCCAGGGGAAGACTCCTGCTGTGTTTAAGGAAATGAAGGCAGGCCTGTTCCTCCTTGCCAGGGTTTGGCCAAGGGGGGTCATGTGGTGCAGTTCAGTCAATTAGACAGAGAAAGATCCCCTCAGGGGATTCTGGGGAATATTTTTCTCCAGCAGAAAAAGGGACAGGGAAGGCAAGGGAGCTGTAAAAAGAAAATGCCTCCTTTGTCCCCACCTTATGTCCCTGATTTTATACATTATTATGTAAGAATGTAATTCCTGGAGTGAAATCAATCAACCTACTAAAACTGAACAAGCCCAAGGGTGAGAAGCCAGCCTTCTGAAAACGGTAGTGTGGTACCTGGTGAGATGACCCCAGTGGGCTTCGGAGCAGGGGGCCTAAACCCCGCAGTAATTTCGGTTTTGGCCAGAGTGTCTTCTTGTTAGCTCCTTGAGCCTCATGATTTTGTTGTGGGCTAAGTTATGTCCCTGTGAGACTCATGTTGAAGCCCAGCACCTTAGAATGTGAGTGTATTTGTAGACAGCCCCTGTCAAGAGGTAGTTAAAGTGAGGTCACTAGCATGGCCCTAATCCAGTATGAGTGGCATCCTGTAAGAGGAGATTTGGACACACGTAGACACCCAGAAGGTGTGTGCCTGGAAGGAGGGCCATGTGAGGACGCAGTGAGAGGGTGGCCTTCTACACGTGAAGGAGAGAGGCCCCAGAAGAACCCAGCCCTGCCAACACCCTGCTCTTGGACTTCCAGCCTCGAGACCTGTAAGAAAACCAGTTTTTGTTGTTTAAACCACCTGGTTGTTGTACTTTGTTATGGTAGCCCTAGAAAGCTAATACAGGTATCTATTGCTATGATCAATTTATTGTCATCATCATCAAAAAATCCTTACCTCGCCATATAATTGTTCCAGGGTGTGGCTGCGACCTGAACGAAGAGAGTTTGCCTTGGTTCCTCAGTATCATATAACAAGGCAATGATAGCAGTGCAAGACTGGCCCTCCTGGGGTCCCCCCCCTATTGCTTCATTCAGTAGAAATCTAACAAGGATCCATCATGCGCTAGAGCTGTGTGCGATTGTTACACAGTATGTATTTTGAAGTCAGAATGCCTGGCTTAGTCGCCTAATTCTGGCTCTTAGTGGCTGTGTGACCTTAGGCAAGCTGGTTATCTTCCCTGAGTTTTCTCATCTCTAATGATGCTAAGAATACCCATCTCATAAGATTATATAAGGCCAGAGCAGGCTGGCACATGTAGAATGTTCCACAAAGCTCTTGACCCAGAATGCCCTCCATGTATGGGGCCATTGCTTTTCTGAATGGACAAAATGGACAAAAAAGAACACAGTTGTGTTTTATACAGCTTCAAAATAATCCTCCCAACACATCCTGTAACATAGGTATTGCTATCCTGTTTTGCAGAGTAAAGTGAGTTTCTGAGGGATCATGTGACAATAGATAAAGGGTTTTTAAATTACAGGGTTTTCTGGCCTCTAAGCCCTGAGCTCTTTTTTTTTCTGCACCAGAGCTGTTGTTCCTGGTGGTACAGTTTTTTCCTGAGCCCACGGTGTATGCCAGACATTCTCACTTAATCCTCACAAGGACGCAGCTTTCACAACCTGGGAATAAATAACCCTCACATGGAATGTTTAGAACAGACAGAATAAACTGGCAAGTTATGGGACTGAATAGGAATCATGGGTCAAAGATAAGTGCCTTCTGAGAGAATGGGGAAGAAAAGGTAATAACATTATGTTTTTGGCGCCAGGTGCTTTTGCTAGATCCCTGATTTAAAATACCTTGAGATTTTGATATCATTATACTTCTGTTTTACGGTTAAGGAAATGGAGGCCTCAAGAGGCTAAGACTCAGAAAAGGGAGAAATTTGAATCTAGTACCAATGCAAAAGTGTAGCATCTTCTCCTGAACCAGATCTACCTAACACCTGCTGAGCATCAGAATCATCTGGACACATCTTTAAACGCACCGAGGGCTGGACTCCACCTTCAGAGATTCTGAATCAGTGGGTCCGGATGGGGGCCTCCAGGGCTGACACTTTTAAAGCGCCCAGTCCGGTGATGGGAAGTATAGCCAGAGGGACGGGGGACACGAAACATAGCCAGACCCGGCTACGCTCCGAGATACTGGCGCTCGGTCTCCGCCCAGCCTGGCAATCATTTCATCAGCTGCTGCACGAAGGCCAACACCCATCCTTTTCTTGGGGTCCCCTTAAGCAACATGAGTTAGGATGAGTTCATTAACTCATCACCCAACATTCAAGGCAACTCAATAATGGATTTTAGGCAATGGCATCACACCGACATGCTCAAACATGGGGAAACCCTAAAATCAAATCCGAGCACCATTTCTCCCTCTTGATAGGCCTAGAAGTTGAGCTGAAGCTTTTTTTCACTAATCCTCATGGCTCTTGAGTAGAGTTTTTGCTTCCCCAAATTGTTTAAATAGATACAGTAAACATTTTATGTTTACGTCTCCAAGAAAAATACTAATAAATTAAGTTGCTCTTTATATATAATTTTTTAAGGGGGAGGCTCAGGGACCTTTATTTTAAAAAATAACAGCAACTTTTCCAGTCTCTGCTGAGCATTCACGTGATGTGGAGCAGGAGCTCACGTGCTCGAAGGGCTCTCGGCACCCCTAATTCCAGGTGTTTCTGACGGTCCTAACAGTCTCTCTTCTTGTCTAATGGTAACTCTTCTCCAGCCCCTGGGCCGGGTATTCCAGACAGCACACCTAAGCAGGACGTACCGACATTATCTCGCCAATGTAAACCCAGCAAGAAACTAGCTTCTCTCGGTTAAGCCAGAAAGTGGAACTGGAACGGAGAGTCGGGGATAGGAGAGGATTAAAGATTAGTTCACGTGGCTGGGAAACTGGCCTTTGACCCAACATAAATGCCACCAGCACAGCTTCCCTGTTGCGCGTTTCCAGAGATGCCAGGCCCTGGGAGAGGGGAAAGGGCAAAGGGAGAAGCCGGTGGCGGCAGGGGGGAAGCTGCGGGAGAGCAGCGGGGGAGGAAGGGGAGGAGCCCGAGAGCCGCTGCCCTGCCCGCAGCCCAGCGTCTGCTCACTGTCAACACCGCGCTCCGTCCGCGCCCTGTGCCATGGATATAATATTTGGCAGAAATAAGAAAGAACAGCCGGAGCCTGTGAGGGCCAAAGTGACAGGTGAGCGTTTTTGTGTAAATGATCGATGCTTATGGATTTAGGTGTACACTTATTTTCTATTTCAAAAAGTATACTAATGTAAATTTTGGAAAATCTGGAAAACAGAACATAGGGGCAAAGTGACCCGTAACCCAGACACGTTCTTTGGGAAAACCTAGCTGTGCTTTCATATGTTATAACTCAGCTTCCAGGGAGAGCGGGTCATGCTCATTATTTCCAGGATATGAGTTCCAGGAATACTGCAAGTAGAACACATACAGTGGGGTTATTCTTTAAAATGTGGCTCCTTCCAAGCCCATGGCATTTTTGTGCAAATGCATGCACCCTAATTTCAAAGTGGTGTGAGACGCGTGCAGGAGCACCGCCCCTGCACGTGCTCACTGGAGGACACCAGGGCCCTGTGTGACTCCTCCAGGTGGTTTTGCGTGGGGGTGATTTGGGCACGGGAGCACCTGAGGAGCCAATAAAACCGGCCCCGAGTGGGGCCCCCCCGCAGGCACGGGGCTTCCGTGAGTCTGTGCCTCGTCTTCTCCATTACCTCTCCCGCTCTCTTCTCTTCTGCGCTGCTGCCCTCCTGGTGCCATCTTGTTGAGGCTCTGCAGGGCGCAGCCTGGTTCTGAAGCCGTGGGCTCCCGGAGTGGCACTTGCTCAGCGTTCTGAGACGGCCAGGGGCTCAGCTCAGGCACGTGGGTTTGCCTTTTCTGATAGGTGGACTGGGTGTTTTCGCAAGGACAGGACAACAGTGAACACTTTCTTGTGAGGCAAGTCAGGTGGGAGCTTTTCACCTGAGGAATTGCCTTGAAGCCTTTTGAAAGGACAGCTTTCCTGTATATTTGTTTCTGATGACAAGCGCAGTGTGCAGTCTGTGTATGTGTGTGTGTGGGGGGGTTATGTATGTATGTATCCATATATAAAAAACTTGGAAGTGCAGATGAGAATGTGGAGGGAAATAATCAGCTATATTTCCATCTCAAACACTATTAATATTTGAGTATTTTCTTTAACTTTTAAAAGGATAAGTGAAGATAGTAAAAACAGATAGACTATAAATAGTAAAAAAAATGTATATTTACTAATTTTACTTTAAAAGAGCCTATGACACCTGTCCTTTTATGCTCTGGGATGCCATGAACCTGTTACTGTTATACCTTCCTTTATATCTCATGTTTAGTGACTGTGTGGAAGTCCTTGGAAATTTTACAAAACAAAACCTGAGAGGCAGAATGGGACCCTAGATCTAGATCACCTGTTCTCAAAGGCTGCCTCCCCCACCACCCCCATCAGAGCCTCGGCATCACCTGAGCACTTGGCAGACCCACACATTCCTGGGCCCACTGCGGACCCACTGAGTCAGATACTTGGACGGTGGAGCCCAGCAATCTGTGTTTCCACAAGCCCTCAGAATGCTTCCATGTGTGAGAGCCACTGCTATAAATCCCACCTTGCTACCTGGCAGCAGCCAAGGGCTAGAGAAGGACAGCAACTTGCCCAAGTCCAGTGGCAAGTGGGGTCAGGCTCCAGCCCCAGGTCAGGTCTAACCAGTTGGCCAGCGCCCATTGACTGACAGATAACTAAACATCGTGCCTATGTGAACACATCTGCCCGAGGCTCTGGCTGCATTTCCAGCTGTGCATCACTGGCTCTGAGACCTCCTCGGCCAGTTGCTTGAGCATTTCCTGCCTCTCCTCTTATAATTAAGTCAGCATGGGCTTCCCACATAGGGTTGCAGCTCTAACCAAATGATTTAATCCACCAGAACCTGTGCCTGGCACATGGTGCTCAGTAAGTGTTCTTACTGTATCTAGAGCTTTAACTGCATGCCCAGATCTCTCCCTGCTGTCTCTCACCTGCTCCTGCCCCTGGGTGCTGGTCTCTGAGCAGTCTGACCATTCGCTTTGTTAGCCCCTGCCCCTTTCCCCCAAGTCTGTCAAACTCTGAGTCAGTTCTGTGTCTGCCGAGACTCTTTGTTCCTTCTTTTTCCTCTGCCCCTACTGCTGCTACCCTGGCCCTCTCTCTGGTTTCCTACCTCCCACCCACACCCCACACCACAGCCAGACACAACTGTGAAACCCCAAATCAGAGCACATTCCATTACTATGAGGCGTCCAGAAGGGGCAGATCCCTAGAGACAGACAGCAGATTAGTGCTATGCGGGCCGGAGATGGAGAGTGAGCACTAATGGGCACAGGGTTTCCTTTGGGGGTGATGGGAATGTTCTGGAATTAGTGGTGATGAGTGCACAAAACTGTGAATGTATAGAAGAGTGTGAACTATATACTTTTACACGGTAGATTTTATGTTATGTGCATTGTATCTCAGAAAAAATTGCAAAAAAAACCCAGTGCTGTCATTCCCTGTTGTAAAGGTCAAAGGTGTCTCATTCTTAACATCAAACCAAAGCCAAAGTGCGGTCTTGTTGCCCTGTGTTATTTGGCCCCTGTGTGACTCTCCAGCTTCAGTACTTGTGCTCTTGAAAACTGGAGTCGAGTCTTAAGAAACAGCTGGCACTTCTGATCATTGAACTGGTCCTTGATCTCCTAATTCAGGTTCCTCCAGAGAAAAGATCTCAGGTGTAGGTAGTTCATTCAGGATGTGATCCTGGGAGACACTGGGAGGGAAGCCAATAAAACGGGGCACTGTCAGGCCACTGATCACTGGGAGCCACTGGAGCAGAATACTCTGGGTGTGGTGTACCACGTGCTTCACGCTACCCCAGCTGAGGGCCAGCGAGTGGTGGGGGTTGACTCCCACCTCCCCAGCCATCCTTGCCTGAGAGCCACTTCCGGGAGTGTTAACTCTCCAGGTGCTTCCGGCTTGTCAGGTATGTGGGCGGAGCAGCTCCTGTGGTGAGAACAGAGCCCTCGGGCAGAAAGCCCAGGGTATCTGCAGAGAGCAGCCTTCAGGGGGAGGTGCATGCCGAGGGGCTCAGTTTGGGCCACAGTGTGTCTGCTACAGCCCCCTACCTCCGGAGCACTGCTGTGCAGTAGAAATACAGGACGTGCCACACAGTAAAAATTCTCTAACAGCCACATTCTAAAAAGTAAAGGAACAGGTGAAATTAATTTTAGTATTTTGGATATGTTGTATTAAGTATACGATCAGTTTAATATGTAATTGTTCAGTACAGGTCAGTATTTTAAAAATTGCTAATGAGGTATTTTACTTTTCTTTTTCACCCTTATTCTTTGAAATCCGGTGTGTATTTTATACTTACAGCACATCTCAGTTCGGAAGGACTAGCCGGGTTTCAAATGCTTAGCTGCCACCTGAGGCTGGTGACTACCATATTGGACAGCCCGGCTCTGGAATGTTCCTTCCTTGTGCCTTTGTGAGGCAGAGCTGCTCTCCCTGGAGCCTCGGGCAGGCCTCCTCCAGGAAGCAGCCCCGTCCTGCCCTGGCCCCTCCTGGGGTGAGGTTCCACACTGCCGCTCGCTGAGCGTCTTTCTCACAGTGAATGGTGGTGTCTGCTCGCTCATCTGTCTCCTCGGTGGGTGGCAGTGAGTTGACGATGCAGATGATGTCTGTTCACCTTGGTGTCCCCAGTGCCAGCCCAGTGCCAAGTATATTCTTCCCTTTCTTGAAAGGACTACTGAGTAAATGAATGGATGGATGCGGCTATGGTGCTGGGGCTGTGACCTCAGTTCCTTTCCAGGGCTGTTTCTTCCAGCTGTTTGGTGTGGACACAGAAACCAGAGGCTAAACGTTCTTTCTGTCCACAGGCAAGATTCCAGCATGGCTGCAGGGAACCCTACTGCGGAATGGGCCTGGAATGCACACAGTGGGGGAGACCAGATACAACCACTGGTTTGACGGCCTGGCCTTGCTCCACAGCTTCACCATTAGGGACGGTAAGAACACAACGGTTTGCTGTCCCTGCTGCAACAGGCAACCACAAATCTAGCAGCTTAAAACAACGGCTGTGTTGGCATGGCCCAGTCTGGCCTTGTCTCTGCGCTCCTCTGGAGCTCTCCTGGCTCCTTGTGTTCCAAGTGTAGAAATATAAACCAAAAATGTTAAGTGCTACGATATGATTCAAGAGGGCATGCACAGGGCAAGCAAGGTTGTCTGATGTGCGGATAACACAAAGCCCATGTTCTTCAGAAGGAGGTTTGTGTACCTCCTGCACTGAATCCCCCAGGATGCTCATTAAAGCAGCAAATCCTGAGGGGTGAGTGAATCATGATCCCGAAGGGCAGGGACAGAGCATCTGCATCTCTAACACATTTCTGAAATGACCCTGAACACACTGAGGTTTCAGAGGACCTCTTTATTGGACCTCCAGCCTTGCTACCTGGGCCTGCCCAAGACCAAGTTCATCAGATGGCAGTGGGCTGGGCTCAGGCTTCTGCAGTTTCTTCTAAAGCACTAGGGGATTCTAGTGTACAGCCAGTGTAGAGAACTTAAGTTAGTGCCAGATCAATAAGAAAAGACTGCAGTAAGAAAGTGAAAAGGTAGAAAAATAGCTTGTGGCCTTCCGCAGAAGCCAATAAAAGTCAATGCTTTAAAAAAAACACACATACACAGATTTGAGTAAACGAAGACTGGAGAAGGGGGAGCCCGGTGAAGGGCATGCAGGAGCCCCTCATTTTTATAGCTCTAAAATCATTTCAAAATTAATAATTTTCATAAAGCAGGCCTAAAGGTGAGTGACCCCAGGTCTCCCTCAGCAATATATATTCAGTAATTTTCTAATAAGAGACAAAGTCATTGTCCCAGGAGGATTTGAACATGTGAACTGCAAGAGCCAGAGCCACCAAAGTAGAGAGGCCTGAAGAGCCCTTGAGAATTTAGCCTTACCCAGGTGACTTATTTAATTGTTGTAGCTCCAAAGCAAACTTTGGGAAATGAGCCTTCTTTAAAAAAAAAAGATTACATATGTGTGTATTAACACATACACACAGAAATGTGTGTGTGTGTGTGTGTGTGTACACACATATGTGTAGCTCCCCACTCCCCCCAAATATCAAACAGGACCAGCTCTGGAGGATCTCAGGCAGGATCTCTACTGGTGGCTCGCGGGCCTTCAGAAGGAACGTGGCTCACTGGGGCTTGCCCAGGCGCAGGCACCTTCTTTAATCTCAACCTCAAAGTCAAGCGTCAGCCTTGAGCAATTCCAGAGACACATTTTCCTGGGGGTCCCCCAGCGCTCCAGGCTCTGGGGTTGATTGTTTATAGGAAATGGGCTGCCTGTTGACAACTGCCTGAGATGGGTGTTTACATTTCAAGTGAACAGAATTCAGCATTTTAGGCAAAGCCCCTCAGCTAGTATCTGTGGATGGCAATCCTCAGTGACCAGCAAAAGACAGTCTGGTTTTGGGGGGAGGCCAGGATGGCCCTAAGGCAGGTTCTGTGTAGCATGTGGCTGAACACAGGACCCTAGATCTAGATCACCTGTTCTCAAAGGCTGCCTCCCCCACCACCCCCATCAGAGCCTCGGCATCACCTGAGCACTTGGCAGACCCACACATTCCTGGGCCCACTGCGGACCCACTGAGTCAGATACTTGGACGGTGGAGCCCAGCAATCTGTGTTTCCACAAGCCCTCAGAATGCTTCCATGTGTGAGAGCCACTGCTATAAATCCCACCTTGCTACCTGGCAGCAGCCAAGGGCTAGAGAAGGACAGCAACTTGCCCAAGTCCAGTGGCAAGTGGGGTCAGGCTCCAGCCCCAGGTCAGGTCTAACCAGTTGGCCAGCGCCCATTGACTGACAGATAACTAAACATCGTGCCTATGTGAACACATCTGCCCGAGGCTCTGGCTGCATTTCCAGCTGTGCATCACTGGCTCTGAGACCTCCTCGGCCAGTTGCTTGAGCATTTCCTGCCTCTCCTCTTATAATTAAGTCAGCATGGGCTTCCCACATAGGGTTGCAGCTCTAACCAAATGATTTAATCCACCAGAACCTGTGCCTGGCACATGGTGCTCAGTAAGTGTTCTTACTGTATCTAGAGCTTTAACTGCATGCCCAGATCTCTCCCTGCTGTCTCTCACCTGCTCCTGCCCCTGGGTGCTGGTCTCTGAGCAGTCTGACCATTCGCTTTGTTAGCCCCTGCCCCTTTCCCCCAAGTCTGTCAAACTCTGAGTCAGTTCTGTGTCTGCCGAGACTCTTTGTTCCTTCTTTTTCCTCTGCCCCTACTGCTGCTACCCTGGCCCTCTCTCTGGTTTCCTACCTCCCACCCACACCCCACACCACAGCCAGACACAACTGTGAAACCCCAAATCAGAGCACATTCCATTACTATGAGGCGTCCAGAAGGGGCAGATCCCTAGAGACAGACAGCAGATTAGTGCTATGCGGGCCGGAGATGGAGAGTGAGCACTAATGGGCACAGGGTTTCCTTTGGGGGTGATGGGAATGTTCTGGAATTAGTGGTGATGAGTGCACAAAACTGTGAATGTATAGAAGAGTGTGAACTATATACTTTTACACGGTAGATTTTATGTTATGTGCATTGTATCTCAGAAAAAATTGCAAAAAAAACCCAGTGCTGTCATTCCCTGTTGTAAAGGTCAAAGGTGTCTCATTCTTAACATCAAACCAAAGCCAAAGTGCGGTCTTGTTGCCCTGTGTTATTTGGCCCCTGTGTGACTCTCCAGCTTCAGTACTTGTGCTCTTGAAAACTGGAGTCGAGTCTTAAGAAACAGCTGGCACTTCTGATCATTGAACTGGTCCTTGATCTCCTAATTCAGGTTCCTCCAGAGAAAAGATCTCAGGTGTAGGTAGTTCATTCAGGATGTGATCCTGGGAGACACTGGGAGGGAAGCCAATAAAACGGGGCACTGTCAGGCCACTGATCACTGGGAGCCACTGGAGCAGAATACTCTGGGTGTGGTGTACCACGTGCTTCACGCTACCCCAGCTGAGGGCCAGCGAGTGGTGGGGGTTGACTCCCACCTCCCCAGCCATCCTTGCCTGAGAGCCACTTCCGGGAGTGTTAACTCTCCAGGTGCTTCCGGCTTGTCAGGTATGTGGGCGGAGCAGCTCCTGTGGTGAGAACAGAGCCCTCGGGCAGAAAGCCCAGGGTATCTGCAGAGAGCAGCCTTCAGGGGGAGGTGCATGCCGAGGGGCTCAGTTTGGGCCACAGTGTGTCTGCTACAGCCCCCTACCTCCGGAGCACTGCTGTGCAGTAGAAATACAGGACGTGCCACACAGTAAAAATTCTCTAACAGCCACATTCTAAAAAGTAAAGGAACAGGTGAAATTAATTTTAGTATTTTGGATATGTTGTATTAAGTATACGATCAGTTTAATATGTAATTGTTCAGTACAGGTCAGTATTTTAAAAATTGCTAATGAGGTATTTTACTTTTCTTTTTCACCCTTATTCTTTGAAATCCGGTGTGTATTTTATACTTACAGCACATCTCAGTTCGGAAGGACTAGCCGGGTTTCAAATGCTTAGCTGCCACCTGAGGCTGGTGACTACCATATTGGACAGCCCGGCTCTGGAATGTTCCTTCCTTGTGCCTTTGTGAGGCAGAGCTGCTCTCCCTGGAGCCTCGGGCAGGCCTCCTCCAGGAAGCAGCCCCGTCCTGCCCTGGCCCCTCCTGGGGTGAGGTTCCACACTGCCGCTCGCTGAGCGTCTTTCTCACAGTGAATGGTGGTGTCTGCTCGCTCATCTGTCTCCTCGGTGGGTGGCAGTGAGTTGACGATGCAGATGATGTCTGTTCACCTTGGTGTCCCCAGTGCCAGCCCAGTGCCAAGTATATTCTTCCCTTTCTTGAAAGGACTACTGAGTAAATGAATGGATGGATGCGGCTATGGTGCTGGGGCTGTGACCTCAGTTCCTTTCCAGGGCTGTTTCTTCCAGCTGTTTGGTGTGGACACAGAAACCAGAGGCTAAACGTTCTTTCTGTCCACAGGCAAGATTCCAGCATGGCTGCAGGGAACCCTACTGCGGAATGGGCCTGGAATGCACACAGTGGGGGAGACCAGATACAACCACTGGTTTGACGGCCTGGCCTTGCTCCACAGCTTCACCATTAGGGACGGTAAGAACACAACGGTTTGCTGTCCCTGCTGCAACAGGCAACCACAAATCTAGCAGCTTAAAACAACGGCTGTGTTGGCATGGCCCAGTCTGGCCTTGTCTCTGCGCTCCTCTGGAGCTCTCCTGGCTCCTTGTGTTCCAAGTGTAGAAATATAAACCAAAAATGTTAAGTGCTACGATATGATTCAAGAGGGCATGCACAGGGCAAGCAAGGTTGTCTGATGTGCGGATAACACAAAGCCCATGTTCTTCAGAAGGAGGTTTGTGTACCTCCTGCACTGAATCCCCCAGGATGCTCATTAAAGCAGCAAATCCTGAGGGGTGAGTGAATCATGATCCCGAAGGGCAGGGACAGAGCATCTGCATCTCTAACACATTTCTGAAATGACCCTGAACACACTGAGGTTTCAGAGGACCTCTTTATTGGACCTCCAGCCTTGCTACCTGGGCCTGCCCAAGACCAAGTTCATCAGATGGCAGTGGGCTGGGCTCAGGCTTCTGCAGTTTCTTCTAAAGCACTAGGGGATTCTAGTGTACAGCCAGTGTAGAGAACTTAAGTTAGTGCCAGATCAATAAGAAAAGACTGCAGTAAGAAAGTGAAAAGGTAGAAAAATAGCTTGTGGCCTTCCGCAGAAGCCAATAAAAGTCAATGCTTTAAAAAAAACACACATACACAGATTTGAGTAAACGAAGACTGGAGAAGGGGGAGCCCGGTGAAGGGCATGCAGGAGCCCCTCATTTTTATAGCTCTAAAATCATTTCAAAATTAATAATTTTCATAAAGCAGGCCTAAAGGTGAGTGACCCCAGGTCTCCCTCAGCAATATATATTCAGTAATTTTCTAATAAGAGACAAAGTCATTGTCCCAGGAGGATTTGAACATGTGAACTGCAAGAGCCAGAGCCACCAAAGTAGAGAGGCCTGAAGAGCCCTTGAGAATTTAGCCTTACCCAGGTGACTTATTTAATTGTTGTAGCTCCAAAGCAAACTTTGGGAAATGAGCCTTCTTTAAAAAAAAAAGATTACATATGTGTGTATTAACACATACACACAGAAATGTGTGTGTGTGTGTGTGTGTGTACACACATATGTGTAGCTCCCCACTCCCCCCAAATATCAAACAGGACCAGCTCTGGAGGATCTCAGGCAGGATCTCTACTGGTGGCTCGCGGGCCTTCAGAAGGAACGTGGCTCACTGGGGCTTGCCCAGGCGCAGGCACCTTCTTTAATCTCAACCTCAAAGTCAAGCGTCAGCCTTGAGCAATTCCAGAGACACATTTTCCTGGGGGTCCCCCAGCGCTCCAGGCTCTGGGGTTGATTGTTTATAGGAAATGGGCTGCCTGTTGACAACTGCCTGAGATGGGTGTTTACATTTCAAGTGAACAGAATTCAGCATTTTAGGCAAAGCCCCTCAGCTAGTATCTGTGGATGGCAATCCTCAGTGACCAGCAAAAGACAGTCTGGTTTTGGGGGGAGGCCAGGATGGCCCTAAGGCAGGTTCTGTGTAGCATGTGGCTGAACACCAGTGTGCAGCCTCCCTAACCCCCAGGTGAGACTTCCTGCCGCCAGGATTTTGTTGGGCAATTCAGAATTTCAGCAGCCATCACATACCAAGTGATGCTGGGGGTCAGTGGGCCTGTCTCCTTACATCATATCGTCTCATTTAAAACTGCCAACGCCAGCTGGGAGGGCTGTGTGATCCTTAGGGGCGTATAGTTTATCTTCTGAAGCTGGAGAAAGAATGAGAAGGTCTTTCATCATCTTTTGCAATTTTATTATGATCACCACTGTGCCCACCTGAATGTGCAGGGAGGAGCCCCCCTACGGAGGAGCACCTCCAGCCTTTGGAGAGGATCGGGAGAGCATAACCCCAAGGGCAAAACAAAGGGAGGCTGTTAGATGTCAAGAGAGTGGTTCCCCGGGGTGGGGGCAGGGCTGGTGACTGTACCAGACCTCAGGGGGTTGCCCGGGTGCTGTTCTCCGTGTCCTTGATCAGGATGCAGTTTATATGGGTAGGTTCAGTTTTCAAAACTCCATCAAGCTGGGCACATATGATAGCACATTTCTGTACGTATATTTTCAATAACGAGGATCAGACAGAACAGTCACCCTGACTGTGGTCTCTGTGTCAGTCTTTGAATCCAGCTTACCACTCACTAGCTGTGTGGCTTAAGGCAAGGTACTCAACCTCTCTGTGCCTCAATTTAATAAGCTGGGAGATGGGTTTGTAGGGCCATGAGTGCCCAAGACCTTGGTACTTCATTTAGTAAGAAATTTGAAAGCTTCATTGTTTATATTTCATTTCGTTTTGATGTTAGTTAGCAAATGACATTGTGTTGACTTTTTCCCCCTAAAGAACATATTTCTAGTTGGAATATTCTATACATTTCCAATGTTTTGATGACTAAGCGAGATGATGCACGTAAAGTGCTTAATAAAACTGCAAAAGACGATGAAAGACCTCATTCTTTCTCCAGTTTCAGAAGATAACGCACAAGCAGTGCTTAGCACACACATGCTCAGTCTATATTAGTTCTTAGTCCTATTTCCTTTTCTTAAAATATAAAAATGCTCTGGGCTAGAATTTCTCAAGAATGTGTACTCTCCTCTAAGCCCATCACTGTGGCAGTGGATAGGTGATGGGCATTTCTCTGATAACTTATTTTTATGGGAATGAAATGTAAGTATGTCACAGGCCCTACTTTTTTGCATATTATAATTGCACCAACAGTGGAAGCACATATTATACTACAGCAAGGAATGTGTTCTTTGGGGGGAAATCAACATAATGTCACTTGCTAATTAACAACAAACCAGATAGGTTTCAAATCGTCAGCCAAAGGAAGAACATAGGGCTCAGTGTTCACAGCCCTACAGACCCGGGTAGGGACCCAGCCCACTTCCAGCCTTGTCTCATTCCTCCTCCTGAGCCCCTGCCTCTGGCTCCAGCCCATCGCCACTCAGCCCTGGCAGGAAGTGGGCCACATTCCCCGCTGCCAGGCCTTTGCTTTCAGACTTGCTGGGAAGAGCAAATGGGAATCCCTATCCTCTCTCCTACTCCCCAGTCTGTTGTGGTCCCATTGTCCTCATCTTCCAGGGACTATTTCAGGGGCCACCTCTTCCATGAAGCCTCTCCTGCCCTATCTACCTCAGTTGGGCCTCCTCTTCTCTCTCCTACCTGGTCCCCCTCCCTCCTCTCTCTCCCTTTTCTCTCCCCAGAAGGAACCTGTGAGTATGTTATATGCTACTGTCCATAGTAAAAGGGTCTTTGCAGATGTGATCAAGGACCTTGAGATGGGAAGATTATCTGGGTGGGCTCAGTGCAATCCCAAGGGTTATTAGAAGAGAAAGAGGACCACAGGCAACTCAGTCACAAAAGGAGTGCACCACAACACGGTCAGAGGCCAGAATGACGCAATCACAGGCCAAGGCATCCAGGCCACTTCCAGAAGCTAGAAAGGCAAGGAATGGATTCTCCTGGAGCCTCCGGAACCAACTAGCCCTGCTCATACCTTGATTCCAGCCCCATGAGACCCACTGGTGACCATGTCTTACGAAATGATAAGATAAACAGTTGGGTTGTTTAAGCTCCTACATGTGTGGTAATTTGTTACAGCAGCTAAGGAAACAAATACAAGTCTAAAACCACCTGGTATATTTTCAGGGTGGTCTGCATGGACTGGTCCAGAGTCCCTGCCCTTATGCAATGAGCTGGATTCTCTCTGATGTGCAGACGAATTAGCCACAACACATGTACCGACCCTCTAATGTAGGCAGAACTGGGCATTAGGTCACCCTCTGGCTGTAGTAGAAATCAAATGTTACTCCAGGGGCTAAAATTGTCAGTGTAGGGCTCTCACAACTGAACCAGGCCCTGGGGAAACCCAGCCCAGCTATGAGGCCTTCTGGACCAGTCCTCCAGATCTGGACCCTGCTTGGTGGGATGTCAACCCAGTGGGAGGGACGGTCACGGCTCCTGTCGGTGCCTTTCAGCTGGGTGACGCTGTGCCAGGAGACTGACCGGTTCTGATCCTCAGTTTCCTCATGTAAAATGGAGCTGTAGGAATATTTACCTCCCCTTACTGCTGTGAGTCTCAAGTGAGGACAGGTGTGTGAGAGCCCGCTCCAAACACTTATTGTATACAACACACACGTGAAAGGGGGCTGTCCTGGCGAACTCACCTGCCTGCCTCCCGTGGGACCCCGGAATGGCCAAAATCGACTCCAGGCTCACACTGCTGCTTCTCTTTCAGGTGAAGTCTATTACAGGAGCAAATACCTGAGAAGCGACACCTACAACGCCAACATCGAGGCCAACAGGATCGTGGTGTCAGAGTTCGGAACAATGGCCTATCCGGACCCCTGCAAAAACATATTCTCCAAGTAACTGCCCATTTTTAATCTGGCCATGCTCCTCAATGTCCTTGAAGGTCAAAACAACCAGCATTCGCTCCTATGACAGTTCTCTGGGGGAGACAAAAAACTGCACCTGACAGGCCTCTGTCCGTGTATCTTGATCACTAATAGCAAGAGAGGCAAAGAGCATCTGACAGACCATTAGGTATTCTCCCACATGGCTGGTGGGAGAGCAATTTGGCATTATCTGTCAAAATTACAAATGCACATTCCCTTCAATCTAGAAATATACTCACGCTTGTCTGAGGCACTGTACAAAGCTGTTCACGGCTGCATTATTTGCTGTACGAGGAACTAAAGGTGACCCGAATGTATGAAGAGACTTAAATGAATAACAAGAAGCTACATAAAAAAGTACCAGGCGGAAGTAAAAAGGAACAAGGATGTCCTCTACGTATAAATAGAAAGATTTAGAAGATATATTAAGTAGGAAAACAAGGCAAGGTGTAGAAAGAGCATATAACATGATTTATTTTGTGTACCGGGGAGAGCTAGATTTGTTTTTGCTTGTATGTGCATGAACTGGAAGAGTATCTATGGGAGGTGGGAAGTTGACAAGTGGGAAAGGATGGGGGAAGATTTTTAGTCAGATACTTTTAAAATCATCAGGGTCATGATGCATATGATTGCCTTACAGACTCGACAATCAAATCAAATTGTTGGCCTGGGAATCAGGCCTGCCATCAGTATCTCCTTCTTGATCCTGTTTATATATAGAAGAGTTACCAAATGTGTTAGGGACAGACTGGCCCCAAGATGGAAGATTACTTCTGCTTTTCCAGAACTGACGTCATCTCTCCAGTTCCAGGATCCAGGGCTAGGCTGACGCACAGGAGCCCAGAACTCACTTTGGCAGATGGGGGAGGAGCCAGCGAGGAAAAGGGAAGGGAATGAACTTCAAACCACAACCTGCGGGGCATCCTTGCTGTTCCATCACGCGCCAGTAGGCGGAGCACTAGGCCATACACAGATGAGGGATATTCCTGCTTTGGCTTTGCCTTCTGAGCAAACTAATGACGATGAGTTCTTAACTCAGCATTCTTTGGCCTTACTTTTTCGAAAGAAAAGAATTTCTTGGGCAAATTTGAGGTATCCATGGTGGACTCACATTCCTACCAAAAGTGAAGAATAGCTGTGATGCTAGTTTTGGGGGGCCACTATGGTTTCATGTATGATTTCTGTAGACTTTCTTGAAATACTTGGGAACCGTCCAGCAGCCCTTGCTGGCCCTGGTACGGGAGGCCGCAGACGTGGAGAGTCCGGGAGGGCTCAGCTGGGGGCTGTGTTGTCCCGCTAAGCCACTTCTTAGCTGCTTCAATGTGACAGTACCTTTGAGCGACTTGATGTCCGAGTCCTCAGGATTTCTCAGGGGCCCCAGTACTGCTTCTCCCTCAGTTGAAGTAGAGCATTTTAAGTGGTAGGAAAACAGAAGTTATCTTGAGCAGGACTTTCCAGCTGGGTGGGCACAGCCCTGGTTTTCCTCCACAGGGCTTTCTCCTACTTGTCCCACACCCTCCCGGATTTCACGGACAACTGCCTGATTAACATCATGAAGTGTGGAGAAGACTTCTTCGCGACCACGGAGACCAATTACATCAGGAGAATCAACCCACAGACTCTGGAAACGCTGGAGAAGGTAACAGAGAACCTAGAGCCAGCATCAGTTGCTGACTCATGAAACAGGCCCTGGGGGAGGCCACGTGGCCTGCAGGAGCCCACAGGAGGACCCCCTCCTCTAATGCCGCTGGAGCTTGGGCTTCCCCAGCACAGCACTTAACACTGGAGTCTAAGCTGTCTCCGGGCAGGGACTGTGTCCTCTCATCTCTGGGTCTGTAGTCGTTCCTAGGGCTACTATAACCAAGTACCACAAACTAGGTGAGAGAAGTGTGTTCTCTCACAGCTCTGGAGGCTGGAAGTCTAGGCTCAAGGTGTTGGCAGAGCCGTGCTCTCTCTGCAGGCTGTAGGGAAGGACCCTTCTCTACCTTTTCCTGCTTCTGGTGGTTCTCACCATCCTTGGGGTTCCCTGGCTTATAGATGCAGCACTCCCAGTCACTCCTGAAGATACACATCATTGGATTAAGGCCCACCCTAATCCAGAATGACCTCATTTTAATTCAATTACATCTACAAAGACTCTAGTTCCAAATATAGATACCAGGGGTTAGGACCTCAACATATTTTTCTGGAAGACACGATTCAACCTGTAACAATGTCCATAGTCTTAGCACTGAGTGGGGGCTCCATGTGTGTTTGAATGAGTGACTGTCCTAGAACGCCCAGGACTCCCAGCAGCCCTGCCTGGTTTTGACCTGAAGAGGGAGGCATTAGTCAGGGGTACAAAATAAATGCCTAAGCAGGTACCTTTCCTGGGCAGAATCAAGGCAACATTTTCATAAAAATCAATAGACCCGCTTTTACTGTTTTCCAGCTGGCTGTTGAAAACCTTAATGTCCTCTCAATATATTTTAACGCTCTGTTAAAGGGATGGCTTTTCTTAGCTGTGAAATTCCGTCCAGCTCCTTTCAAGCTAGGAGGCATAGGTCCAGCTGATGTATGCTCTCCACAAAGCTGCAGGGAGGAAATACTGGGAGAGAATGAAGCGTTGCCTGACTTTCGGCCGGACACTGTGCTATTCTGGGGGAGGAAGGGCGGGCAGTGAGTTCTCCAGACGTGCCATTGTTCTACGGCTGTGGCCTGTTGAGAGCGGGGGTCATTATTGAGCTTGTTAGTTGAGTTTTGCTTTGATCAGATATTTTTGTAACCTCTCCATTCCCAGAATAATCCTATGGGAGAGGCCTGGAGATTTATACCTCATGGAATGCAAAGGGGGAGAATTGAAATGACTCAATCAGAATGATACAGAGCAGTGGCCAAGGTCAGCACCAAGGCTGCCCCCTCTGCCCAGGTCAGTGCTTGCAGCTCTCTACAGGGAAGGCCCTGTTTCCATGCTGAGGACTCCTGGCAGGGCCAGGAGGCAGGGTCGGAACAACAGCTCACCAAGCCCCTGCGATCCATTTGCTGTAGGAGGCCCCTCGTGAGATTACATCAGATCGCAAGAGTAAACATCCTTTTTAAAGGTGAAGGCTGCCTTATTTTCAGATCAGGGGATGTGCAAAACTAGCCATCATCTACCTAAACCTAGACTCAGTCTGCTTTTCAGGAGGGATTTCACCCTTTTTAAAACCAGATGGCTTTCATATTTTGCAGGTTGATTATCATAAATACGTGGCTGTAAATCTGGCAACATCACATCCTCATTACGATGCGGCTGGAAATGTCCTCAACATGGGCACATCCATCATGGACAAGAGGAAGACGAGATATGTGATGTTCAAGATCCCTGCCACAGTGCCAGGTAGCTCATCTGGGGATGTGACGAGGTGCAGATACCAGGGGCGGCTCCTTGCAGAGAGGTCTGCTCTGTGTTGGTGACTCGAGACCCAGTCTGACACTTGCTCTCATAGATGAGTCTGATTGACCGTGAGCTCCTTTTCTCCTTCAGGAGAAAAGGATGTGCTGGGCTTCCTTTTGGAAGAAGTGAATCCCTTTGATGTTCTAATCTTTTCCTTAGGATCCAGTTCATTAATTCATTAATTTGTGCATGATTCTATCTACATATCTTCCTTCCTTCCGTCCATCCATCCATCCATACCCCCATCCAACAGTTTTTTAGTTTCTGACAAACCTTTTTACATCAGGGCTGTGCTGCCCACATGCATCCCAGCCCTTGAACCCAGGCTCCCAGAGTTGTTCACGGGGCTTGGCCCTGCCGGGACCCACTCCAGATCCTCACCTGTTCTCTGGGCCTTCGGGCATTCTCTGTTTAGGGCTGGGAACCTGAAGCAAAGCCCAGGCCAAATGTGATTGCACATCCCTGGTGGGGGACTCCCAGCCCTTATTTGTCCGGGACCCTCCTGGGACAACCCCCCAGAGACCAGGCCTCCAAGGGTGACTGCACAGAGCTCAGGAGACAGTACAGAACTGTGAGGGTGCTTGGCTTGACTGGTTTAGGAAAACTGGCTTCCGTCGGTGATCCCACTGGTCCCCAGCCCCACAGTCCTGCAGAACTTCCTGAGCAAATCACGGGGTTCTGCCAGCAAATATGAGCCTGCAAGCTCAAAAGGGATAGTGAGTATTCTTGTTAAATGGAACTCCCATTAATTAAGCCAAAAAGGGGAAATAGGGTCTAACTTAGACTCCTAGAACATCAGCCTTGCAGATGGTCTGGGCATTTGATTTTGCCCCTTATATTACAGAGGACTGTGAGGCCCAGGGTACCAGGTGACACAAGGCTTACGCAGTTCCCCACTGGGCAGTTGCTCCTGCCGGTGCCTCCCTGGGGTTTGCTCCCATCTCTCGCCTCCTGGCCCAGGGTGCTTTTCATTTCCTCTTGCTTTGTGTTCCATTTGTTTTGTGAAGAAAAGAACTACCCCACAGCCCCATGGCATCCCTCCCACCAGACAGCTGTTTACAGGGTGCACAGGTGGCCACAAGAAAGGTGGGGACGCTTGCAGATAACTCATTATAAACCAGCCCCAGGCCTGGGTGGTGAGGCCTTTTGGCTAGTGGCTGACTCATCCCCGCAGAGGAACAAGAAAACTGAGCATGTGCTGAGCACCTTTGGCGTTGGGGCGCTGGGCGAGGTACCTGGATTCCTCCGTGACTTCATTCTGTTCTCTCCCTTCGCTCTGAGTGTTACAGTCCCTTGTGACAGCATTGGCAGCCAAGCTCAGGGGCTCTGTCTTCGTGGCTTCTTAACCTTGTGCCTTTGGCCATAGTGACAGACCATTCCACCATGCCTCAGTTCCCCGTCTGTAAATTGGGAATCCAATACATGTGATGGCCCCTCAGCAGTAGGCACATAGGCTTGTTCTCCGGTGTTTCAGAATGGGCAGTGCCAAGAGAAGGTCATGGAAACCCTATGAAATACATGCCAAACAGTGGCTCAACAGAGTATCAAAGCTTGAGCCTGGGAAGCTGGCCCATCACCGGGGAGCTTGGTGGAAATGCAGAACCTCGAGCTCTTAACCCTACATACTGAGTCAAACTCCCCATTTTATCATGCTCTCCAGATGATCCACATGCATGTTAAGGTTTGGGAAGCCGTGCTCCAGAGCCAGGTTGGCCAACTTTTTCTATAAAGGGTCTGAGTGCAGAGTCGGGGCTGGGCAGGCATGGCTCATGGCAGCTACTCAATGTGCCACGTTAGCTTGAAAGCCAAAGCAGCCAAGGACTCTGTAGCAAGGAGGAAGCACAGCTGTGTTCCAGATAAACCTTGATTAAAAAGCAGGTAGAGGGGAGCTTCAGCCCTGGGTCTTAGCTGTGGACTGCTGGCCCAGAGGCCTGACTCCATGCAGCATGTTTTCAGGTGTAAAGCAGGTCTCCCAGGGGGTGACTGAGTGGGAAGGGCCCCCAGCCTCTGCCCCGGCCTCCTCTCAGTCATCGGCTCACATGCGAAGGCTCTTCTGAGCGACCGGGGCAGTTGGGACACGCAGGGTCGGGGGGCAGCCAGGTCCTGGGCTGCTGCTGAGGCTTGCTTTTCTCTAGAGGGCAGGAGCCCCCTGAAGCACACAGAGGTGTTCTGCTCCATCGCCTCCCGCTCGCTGCTCTCCCCGAGCTATTACCACAGCTTCGGCATCACCGAGAACTACATCGTTTTTCTCGAGCAGCCTTTCAAGCTGGATGTCCTGAAGATGTTGACTGCCTACTTCCGAGGGGTGAACTGGGCCTCCTGCATGAATTTCCACAGGGAGGACAAGGTAAGGTCGCCAACACCAGGATGGCCAGGGCCAGGGGTCCCCAGCAGCACCCTCTGAGGTGGAGGTCAGCACGCATGTTTCTTTGGGAGGGCGGGTGTGAGTTGCTAGGCGGTCTCCCCAGAGGCATCAGCCAATTCCAGAGAGTTCCGAATCTGGGGGGGTCCTGAGTTAGGGCAAGGGGCCAGCCCAAGTCAGTAAGTCAGCAGTGGACTGTCTCTGGAAGGGTGTGACCTTGGGCAAGGCAGCAGCACCAGCCGGGCAGCGTTCACCGACCCAGCAGCAAAGGGGCTGCTTCTCGGGCCTGACCAGCACCCCGCTCCTCACAGCCTCCACTGCCTATGGCCCTTCCAGTGTCCCTGCAGTCCCCAGCGACATCAGGGGAGGGCCACAGGGTACGTAGACGGCATAGCACAGTGTTCAACCAGACGGCACAAGGAAACATCTTCATTCAGCTGCACCTGAGCACACAAAGCGTGTATGCCCTTGTGTACATGTGGGTGTGCGTATTTATACATGTGCCTGTATGTTTGAATGTCTGTGTGTACATGTATATGTGTATGAATATATATATGTGTGTATTTACTTCCCGTTCAAACAAGTAAATTTTTACTCGTGAAAACTATCAAATAATTCTCAGTGTCATCTCTTCAAATAATATGCACGTATAGAAGGTGGCATATCAAGTCCATACCCCTTCCCATCCCCATGCAAACCCCCTCCACCACTCTCTATTTGACATCATATTACACCTCTTTCTATGCCTTGTGTACATACACAAATAGGTGTCCCATTTGTGACTGGCAAGCTCTTAAGGCCTGTCCTCTCTTCTCAGGGTTGAGAATGAGGTCTCTGAGGGGACAAAGAGATTGGGGAGGTTTCTTCTCAGCTCAGAACCTTCTACTGATTTCACATCTTCCTCCAAATAAGATCCAAAGGCTTCACTCCCCGGCCTGTGTGCACTATACATTCCCACATGCTCTCGTCCCAGCCATTGGCTCCCGGCTCACTCGGCCCCCTTCTGTATCTCCAGCCATCAAACACATCCTGCCTCAGGGACTTTGCATGTTCTGTCCCCACTGCCTGGAATGTTCTTCCTCAGACGGCCTCCTCCCTCAAGCGACCTAGGTCCGAGGCCTGCCATGATGAATGTGTCTAATAGAGCTGCCTCGCCTGCTCAGTGTCTTTTGGCAATGCCCCTCAATCAGTGCAGGGTGCATCTGATGGCTGACTGTCAGCCTCACCCCTTGGAGTATAAGCTCCACGAAAGGAAGGGCTTTGTTTCATTTTTGTCTCTCCAGTTCCTGAGAAAGTGCCTGACGTGTCCTAGGCCCTCGGGGAATGTTTGTGGAGTGACTGAGTCGGACAAGGGCACCGACAGGAAGAAGCCAGCTGAAGTTAGGTTTTGCTCTGCAGCCATTTCCCCAAACACAACTGAGGCGCGTCCCACTGGCAGGAGCTTCAGAGCCCCCAGGCCTCTAATCTGCAGCCCTTGGAGAGCCCCTGGCCCTCAGAGGATTCCACAGAGCTTTGGGATGCATTGGAGGAGATCACTGAGAAGTCCCTGGGGCTGATCCAGGGACTGGGGTCATGGAGAAGAGACCTAAGATAGTCACCCCTCTGTTGCCATCCCATACTGCATCCCCACCTCCATGCTGGCGAAGCCTCCACTGTACCCCTGGTTGATGTTCAGAGCTCCATTCTGGTTCAGGAGAGAGGCGAGGAGGCTGGGAGGGGACGGCCAGAGCCCAGTTTGCAGAGGTCCCTCCCTGCCCCCTCAGAGAAGGGTGGTTAGGTCAGAGTTGTTAAAGAAAGAAACCCCCACACACACACACTTTGGATTAGGCAACTGGGGCTGCAGATATGGCTAATTACCGCCCAGAGCAATACGGCCTCAGGACACCCGGAGAGGCAGGCGGATGCCTGATGAGCTGACCCCTGGGTGGGCTCCCCACCTAGAATGGGTCACCACACCACAGCCCCCAGGGCAAGGGGCTCTGTGACAGCCTCGTCTCTGCAAACCAGGAAGGTGAGGGAGGGGTCCTAATGGGTGGGTGCGGGTCTAGGCTTTTAGGGCTCTGGCTGTGGGTGGAGCCCAGGGGGGCCTAGAGAGCCGGAGCCAGGCTGGTTCTGTCCAACATGGACATTGCCAGGATGCCAGGAAGCTGGCCTGTCACTGCCCACCCGGAGTCAGCGTCAAGTGGAAGGGCACCCTCAGGGCCTCCCTCAAACACTGTCAGTGCAGCAAACTCCCTCCCCTCCATCTGCAGAAGGCCATGACAGACAGACAGACAGCCACTGGCAGCTCCCCTTACCCAGGGCTTCCTGGCGGCTGGCGCTCTGGAGGTGGCACACAGAGGATCAAATGGGGAAGGGCCGCTCCAGGGTCAAGAGCTAACAGTGGCAGGGCCGGTCTTGTCCAGTACCTGGTGCCAGAGCATCGGGCTGGCAGAAGGAGAGCTGACCCTTGGGTGGGTGTATTCTTTCAGACTTACATCCACATCGTCGACCAGAGGACTAGGAAGCCCTTGCCCATCAAGTTCTACACAGACCCCATGGTGGTCTTCCACCACGTCAATGCCTACGAGGAGGACGGCTGCCTCCTGTTTGATGTCATCGCCTATGAGGACAGCAGCCTCTACCAGCTCTTCTATTTGGCCAACCTGAACCAGGACTTTGAAGAGAACTCCAGGCTCACCTCCATCCCCACCCTCAAGAGGTTCGCTGTGCCCCTGCATGTAGACAAGGTAAGAGCTTGAGGGAAGGCCCGTTTTATTCCTGGGGAGATGTGAACCCAGACAGCGCATTACGTTGGCATCGATCTGATTGACATTAAAATAGAAAATGAGCTGTTCTTAAAAAAAGACAGAAAATGGTTTTCATTATTTTTCCGAAAGGGGTACTTTTTCATAGCAGAAACCTTAGAAAATGTACGTTACATTCAAAGGGAAAAGAATCCCCATAACAAGCCCATCATGGATGTGTTTGTATTACCTCCCAAAGTCTCTCTCACTCCATAGATGGACAGACACTGATATATATATGCCCATATATGTTGGGGATATATATATAATATCTACATATCTCAAAGCTGTTAACAATTATGTGCAGTATTATTTCCTTCTCTAAAATTAAGCAATATATAACATGTAGATTCACCCTTTCCACTCAAAGTATACAATTCAGTGGCTTTTAGTGTATTCAGAGTTGTGCAATGAATGCCACAATCAATTTTCAAACACTTTCATCACCCCAAAAAGAAACCTTGCACCCCGTAAGCACCCCACCCTCAATCCCCCCATCGCCCCAGGCAACCACCACTGCACTTTCTGTCTCTGAGGATTCGCCTGTCCTGGGCACTTCCTGCGGATGGAATCCTGCACCGTGTGGCCGCTCACAGTGGCTGCCCACGCAGCACATTTCAAGGTTCATCTGTGTGCGGCCCTCCAGCACCTGTCCTTCTCAGGGCTGACTGTGTCCATGTTATTTTACGTACTGCTTGCTCGCCTATTTACGTATCTGAATATCTCTCCATGACATTAAATGTTCTTCTGCAGCATCACTTTAAATATTTGCCTGACAGTCTGTGGTGGAGATTCACCACCATTTGCTTACCCAGTGCTGTGGACAGTCCTGTTCTTGCACTAAAAATGCCCACTATGCCAGATGTTATCCTCAATTAAGGTGATGCCGCCAAGGTTCTGGGCTTGGTTTTGGAGGCTACAGAGTTTCTGACTCCAGAACTTGCTGACTTCGTGACTTAATTCACTTATGAAACCAAATTCGACTCAATTCTCATTTGATGGCTCATGTTTACTAAATGCATTCTCTGTACCAGGTACTTTGCTAAGCGTTTTATTTTTCCTTCCCTCACTTAATGATCAAAAAAACCTATGGAAAAGGTCCTCATGTTAGCCTCATTTTACAGATGAAGAAACTGAGGCTCAGAGAGGTTAAGGAATGGGCCCACGGTCACACAGCCCAGAGTGGTGGTGCCAAGACTGACACCTGAACCAGCCTGTCTCTACGCCTGAACTTGAAGCTGGTCAGGGGATCAACCCCTGTTCTTCCCAGCAGGCCTGGCTCCTGGAAAGAGCCCACATGGTCAGACTCCTCTCAGGGCTCTGCCAGCCTGGGGAATGGAGGACTTGCCTATGGAAGGCCCAGGGAGACCCCTCCCACCCTCACTGCCAGGCTCCTCAGTGTAGACCAGACAGGCTGCTGACCAGTAAGCAGGGGCCTACCTTTGAATCCAGGCTTGACTGACTCCAGAGTTGGGGTTCTTTCCTATCTCCCCAGCATTTCCCTACTCACAATCATTTGTGTATGTCTGTCATGACTTTTGCCCTATTTCCTTTCCTCTGTAGTTAATGTTTACAAAGTCGTGATTTTGTTTAGATGAACTCACTACATGCAACTCAGTACATCACTACTCAGGGGAGAGGGGCATTGCTTGCTGTGGTTAGAACACAGTATGAGTGTAAAACAACGAAGGAAAGCAGAGGTCTTAAGCCCTAGCCAGATACTGTTGCTTGCCAAGACTTATCTATCTTTGTTTTAAAAAGTTCTGAAAGTATTGGGTGTTAAAAATATAGTGGGACCTAAGTGAGACCCTCTCCTTGACACAGTCTGAAATACTGGAAGAGAAAAAGGAATTAACTTTCTCCCCATGTGATTCAGGGCCATTGAATGAACTGCCATGTCCCAAAAAATCACTACATGGGTCTCTGCACCCCTCACTCAGTGGGGTACCACAGCGGAGTGCCTAGGACTACATCTCCTAGTTCCAGGAAAAATCAGGGTGTCACAAATCCCCAGGCCCTGCCCCCCACCTCATGCCAGCCTCAGACTGAAGATGGAAACACTAATTTCCACCACCCATACACCACAGGATTTTATAACCTTTTATCACACTTGAAAAATGACTTGCTTCTTGACACCAAGCTAAGAATTTTAGCACATATATTGTAAAAAGCCACCACATAAGCCACCTGCTGCTTTGAAACTAGCAAAGAAGAGTGAGCCCTGGGAAGGGTAGCTGTGGCCACGCTTTGAAACTACCATTTATTGTCCCTTAAAAAGTCTTCTGGCTTCACTTTCAAGTTGCCCCACCTGCATATTGAAATTAGAAAGTTGAGCAGGCAGACAGGGCCTGTATGTCCTAGATCTGGTGTCTCTCATTCCATCCTGGCCAGAGGTTTGTCAGGGAAGGACAGTGGGAGATGCCCCACATTCTCAAGCACCTTTTACATGGTTGCTGTCCCTTGGCCTGCAACCAGGTCCTCCTCCCATCAGACCTCCACTCCTGTCCTGGCTGCTGCTTGGACTGTCCTGGGGGCTCTGAAACCACGCCCAGCCCAGTGAAGGCAGAATCTGGGGTGGGGGCAGGCATGAAAATGATCTCAGAGTCCCAAAGGAACTCTGATTGGCAGCCAAGGAGGGAGGAACCACCAGGCTAACAAATTACTGCGCATCCTGCAGGTCTCAGCATCCTTACCCCCCTCAAATGAGTTTACACTTGAATGGCACCTGCAGCTCTTGGCTCAGTGTCCAGTATAATGAACTTGTTCAGTCACCTCTTCCTGTGAAAGCCCTGGGAGGCCCAGGACTCTGTCCTGTCAGCCATTTACCCCCGTGCCCATCACAGGGTCCAGCACCCAGGGGGTTCTCCCTAAGCTCGTAACTGTTTCCAGTGAATGAATGAATGGATAGATGGATGGGAAATGTGAAGTGGGTTCTCCTAAAGGGCACAGTCTTCCTTTAGCACCTAGAATATTTCCCAAGTGGAAAGCACGTTCCCCGTAGAATGGAGAACAGTGATGGCGGTTTGAAAGTCTAGGATCTCCCAGCTGCCCCAGATTATCTTGCATTTGGGCCAGCTGGGGTCAAAGAAAGGTGGGGCCTCTTGGCACCCTGGGCCTGTTTATGTGGGGTGGCGTGGGGCTTGTCTAAGGCAGGGCGGGGCCGGGAGGGGCGTGGGCGTGTACAGACAGTCCGGCGGCCGCCCTGCCCTTGGCCAGGTGCTGCTCTGCCTCCAGGTGGCTTCAGAAGCCTTGACTTCCTTCCCGACAGCCATCCACACATAAGGGGCTTTCACAGGAGGAGATACCTTGGACCTAGAAGGGGTGGCTTTAACCAGTTCAGTAGATTTCATTTTTGTCTTGACTCTAAATACAAAACTGAAGGCCAATGATAAGAGAAACTGCCATTTTTTGAGAGCTCACTGTGCCAGGCCCTGTGTTAGATGCCTTTCTGTTCTTAGGCCCCAGCAAGAGAGGCCCCTACACTGTGGGGGCCCTAATCTGGCCTCCCCAGCAGTGTCCCTTCCCCACAAGGTGAGGAGCTAGCTCACAGGGCCATGGGATCATGCCCACCCAGATGGGTGCCCCCTAGCCCCAACCATGAACGGGGACCTCTGAATCCCCTGCCCATGTAGCCTGGAAACTGCTTCCAGCAACTGCCTCTATCCTGAGGGCCGGCTATGCCAGACATGTGCCTCCTCAGGCCCATAAGGTCATGCTGGAGGGAGCATCTGTGCAGTGGGAAGGAAAGGGGCACAGACAGATTGCCGGGGCCCAGAGGCTGGCTCTCATTCTGCTACCCTATTCCAGCTCAGAACTCCAGGGCACCCTAGAATGATAAATTCACGCTCATCCTTGCAGACCGGCACCGGGCAGTAGCGTCTGCTGCCATGGTGAAGCCGTCTCTGTCCATCTAACGCAGTAGCCACGAGCCAGGTGTGCTATTGAAATCTGGCTAGTGAGCTGAGGAATTGAACGTGTAATTGTACTAACTTTTAAAATTAAACAGCCACATGTGTTTAGTGGTTGCCACAGAGGACAGCACAGTTCCACACCATTATGAAGGTCTGTGTGTCAAGGTAGGGAGAGAGAATGGTATTTCACTTAACAATTCACTTGCTCTGTTTAGATATAGGGTTAGTGGACTTCTACCCTTGTCCTGGGTCCTGCAAGTTTTAAGGGCTATCAATTGCTTTGCATGCTTCTCCCCTAACCCACATGACACTCCTCCAATTTGCTTATTAACCCTATGACTGCAGATGAGAGAGTAACTTGCCCAACATCACAGAATTATCCACGGGATTTGAGGTGGGATTTGAATGCATGCCTTTCTGGCTTCAAGTTACTAATCACAATGTGTCTGGCCCTGGCCCAGGTGTTTTCATAACCATTGCTTAATTTAATCTTAACTGTAATCCTCAAACACAGGTCAAAATCTCCCTTATGCACACCACCCATCCAAAAGGTATGAATTCCTCCCCCTCATATCTTATAAATAAGGAATCAGGCTCAGGGAGGCTGGAGGCCTGCTCAGGTTCCTATAGAAGACCTTGGACAGATTTCAAACCTGGGACTGCCAGACTCCAAAGCCAGGGTTTGGGGGGATTACTGAGATTAATGCTTCTCATGGGAGTTGCTTCAAGTTTAGGGATTGCAAAGCAAACCTGTAGGATTTTGTTGAATTCTGGCTGGAAAGTGATTTCTTCCCAAAGCTGAGCATGTTGGCTGCCAAAGGAGCCGAGTCATGTTTGTTACTGCTGTGCATGGAAAAATTCAGTTTATCCCTCAACCAGTCTGACCAGTTTCAAGCTGGGGTTATAAGCCACCTCTGCACATCGCCTCCCTGAGAATCAAGCCCAGGCCATGCACAAGAGGCCTGTTGCTGTCATGTGACTAGCAAGGCACCAGGCAGGGCCTCTCACTGTTTTGTGGTGGTGCAGATGGAGGCACTCAGCTGTTTATAAGACACTGCCCATGTGCCAGGCACTGGGCAACTTTTTCATGCAGTTTATCTCCTTTAATTCTTACAACTATCCTGCAAAGTCCATGTTTTGTGCCTTGACAATTGGAGGAAAAATGTATTGCATCTATGCATTCACCCATTCGTCCAGAAATTACGTCCTGGGAGCTATGCACCACACACTGAAAATCTGTTCCCTGACTTCATGGGGAAGACATGCTCCCATAAAAAAAAGGAGCAGTGCCATACAGAAGATAATCATAGCTTGGGCCAAATGCCTTGAAGACACTGCAGATTGAGTTGTTAGGGAAGGGGGATACAGCACGGGCCAGCCTCAGGGCCTTTGCACCTACTTTGCCCTCTGCCTGCGATGTTCTTGTTTCTAAGCAGAAAGTCACAGTATGAAGGGCCCAGGTTCTGCTTCCCTCTGTGTGGCCTTGGGCAAGCCACTTTCCTTCTGTGGGCCTCGGTATCCTCTTTTGTGAATTGAGAAATAGGACTAAACAAATCTCAAAGGACCCCTTAGTTCAACTGTCGGGCTATTTTGATTTTTCTCCCATTCCCAGCAAAAAGCTGCTATTGTTCAAATAGCTTTGTTTTGATTATAAAAACCCATTTTGGAAAATTTGGAAAGTAGAGAAAAGTTTAAATGAGAAGGAGTCAGTCATAACAATAATTCTTCCACCCTCACCCCACTGTAAACTCCATGAAGGCAGGGATTCATGTTGCTCATTTCCCTCTGGCGCCTAATCTGAACTCACACCCCCACACTAGTTGTGGTAATGTAATAATAATAATAATAATAAACATAGCATCAATGGCAGCCAATATATATCTAGTGATCAGGCTCTCTTTTAAACCATTTGGGTGGATTATTTTATTTAATCTGCTCAATAGCTCGGAGAGAATATAACATTTCCATGACATCTACACTATATCATCATTACAGAAGAGGAAACTGAACTTCAGACATACTATATAACTTGCTCAAGACCCCATAGCTAGTATGGAGGGAAACAGAGTTGTAGATGCTCAGTAACTATTTCCTGAATTGTGCTAAGTCCCTCTCCTGGGTGATGGTAAGGTACTGAACAGAGCACACTGATCATAACTTGAGACCAAGGGATGCCTTTGATAGATATTTTCCTCAACCCCATTGTATGGGCAGATGGAGGCTTAAAACATCAGGTCTTTTTGTTTTGGAGAGGAGAACTGTTTATTTTAGCAATCTTCAGCAAGACTGAAAAGTATGACAGCAGACAAACCCCTCATCAGGGCTCCACCTGTGAAGTCCCTCAGCCCTCAGGACCACATGGCATATGTTGGCGGTCTTAGGCCTTCTCAGACAGCCTCTCATTCTCTCAACAGTCTTATCCTGTGCCTGTTCACATTAGATGAGTTCACACACATAAACGGCCTTGGTTAGGGCCTGACCCATAGCAAGAATCCAGCAAAAGGTGACTGTTATCAGGACACTGGCTGTATCATCCTTGCTTTAGAGCTGAGAACAGCAAAGCTAAGAATAACTTGATCACTTACTCAAAGATAGGCAGCAGAGCCAGAATCTGAACCCAGATTTCTTGGACTTGAAAAATGCTTAACCTCTGTATTTATAGTTTTATGGAATGTGTATACCATACAATCTAGAATGTTCTGAAATGGCTTCTTCCACTTAACGGATGTAGGCTGAGAGTTTTCTCACATCCTAAAAATTCCTCAAGAGCATGGCCTTAATAGCCACACAGAATTTTCAGGGATGGGTCGTATTTTACTTAATCAAGTGCTTATAGCCTCTCATTTACAGGGTGGAGGAAAGGGGGATCCAGGAGTATCATGGGAAGTTTCCAGCCTGCTCTGGCTCAACTGGGCACCTTTTTCTGATTTAAGTATGTGGGTGGCCCTCCTCCTCACAATCAGCTCGACCTTCCCCTTGGAAGTGTCATCATTACTTGTCCGTGGGATCAGACACCTGCCCACTGACACAGTCCATGCCCCTAGAGCCCCACTGAGCTGACACCGTTTAGGCCGTGGGCCCTTCTCAGAAAGCCTTCACATGTCACATGCTTCCATCCCTGCTTCCTATTTCCTTAGATATTGTAATTTCACTAGCACGTGGCTCCAGCTACCTGGACTATTTCATAAGAGGGGGCTTTCATTTTGGTATTCAGACTGGATGAAATTAAATTTCTTAATCAACACAACAGGCATATAGAAATATATATGCATGCACATGGGCAAAATTTTAAGGTCTTTTGGATTACAGAAATAGTAGGTATAATGAAAATTTTATATAATGTGAAACTTGGAATATACACTATAGAATATAAGCTATAAGGAATTTATAACCCTAACAATGCTTCTAAACTTTCTTCATTTATAACATAGTGGAGATATTCTATAACCAGCCTTTTACACTTCATCTTATGATATGGACACTTTCCAATGTTGTTAAAGTTCTTTGTAAACACTATTTTTACATAAGGTTATTATTGAACTCACATGTTTATTTAATTACTCTCCATTGACACCCCTTTCCATGGCTCCAGAAGTATCTTTTCATACCCACACATGAGTACTTTCTTTTTTTAAAGAGTTTTAAGAAAATTTCAGTAACCTCTGATTTTGATCATGCAATTCTCTCTGATTTCTCTCTCAGATAATTAAAGATGCTTATGCCCTTAAGAACCTAGTGTATCTTACCTTGCTCCTGAACCCTTTCATAGAGCTCGGGTAATTACCAGAAGTTCCCTCCTCTGGCCCTATGACCGCCCTTGACCCAATCCCAATCCTGAGTCAAGTTCAAGGATTCCAGCCTTGGGGGCCAATTTTCATGGAAATGATGCCCAGCCTGCCCGGAGGGCAGATGCTTGCAGTCCTTGAAGATGGGGGTTTCATCAGCTTGACCTTCTCTCTAGGCTTAGAGCTGCCCCGGATCAATTATGCTCACAACGGGAGGCCATACCGATACGTCTTTGCTGCTGAAGTTCAGTGGAGTCCCATCCCAACCAAGGTACCCAGTCCCTGTGTGGTCTCGACTGGCTTTCTTTCCTGTAAATGATTGTACCTGTCTGCAAAGGTGAATTCTCAGGTTCTCAGACTGAGTGGCCCTGAGCAGAAAAGGGAGGTCAGGATGGAGATCCCCTTGAAGACAGGGAGTAGGTCAGAGGTAAAGCGGTGATGTGCCCTCCAGGAGAGGGAGCTGATGGGCGGGGCTCAGGAAAGAGGTCAAGGCTGCAGCTTATCTGCTGATTTCTGTATTGGATATATGTTTACTAAGCACCAACTGTGTGCTACAATTCCCTACTACTATAGTAGGCCTGGAGGATGAGGAAGTGCACAGGGGGATTCCAATCCCTGCCCTCAGGGAATTTGCCCTCTCAGGCAGAGATAGCTGAAACTTGGAGGGTTTATTTTGCCTTTTATACTACTATTTTCTGAACACTTCCTGTATCTCAGGGACTGTGCTAAGTGCTGTACAGACAGACATCACTTTTCTTTAATATCTTCATTGTTTAAAATAACAAAATGGAAAATCTGCAAACAGGGAAGAAATGTACAAACAGCAAAAAATTAAGGTTCCCACACACACGTGCACACAACCCAGGTCACTCCCCACTAAACCCACACCCTAAGGAGAGGCAGGTCTGTTAGGGATTAAGAAATGTCAGGGACTTGCTCTTTTAAAACATCAGAGGAGTTGTATTATGCTTTGAATGTTTGCATTAAATATGTCCATTTATTCAAGACATACAAAAGTTGCAGTATAGCGCCAAATGCCAGATAAATTCAGGATTTTTATTTTTATTTGAATTCTGTCTGCAGTGCCAGCCATTAGATGGGAGGAAGACCTTTGCTTAGTTGGAGGAGGAAGCTAGCTGCTTTCATTCTGTTGTTATGCTGACCAGAGGTAGTTGCCACCTGGAGTCTACTTTAGAGGGACTTAGTCCCTGCTCTGTGCACCTTGATGCCTTCCTATTCATGAATGCAGGGAATAAGCGTGCTCTCCCAGTCATTCCCATGTCTCTCCTCTTTGGGTGTACAGATACTGAAATATGATGTTCTCACAAAGGCGTCCCTAAAATGGGGAGAGGAGCACTGCTGGCCGGCGGAACCCCTATTTGTGCCCATGCCAGGTGCCAAGGACGAGGACGATGGTAAGCTTCCAGGAGGGGAAGCTGGCTTGCTGCCCTCTGATGTGACTACTCCTCAAAGAGAGACATCATCTGGGAGCAGTGACACCCCCATCACACAGCTGGTGGAGTCACACTTTGAAGCCCAGGTCCATCTGAGCCCAAAGCTGAGGGCTAGGGAGTCCCCAAGACCACCCCCACTTCTGACAGCTGTAAGTTCAGGGGTTCCCCAGGCCACCCATCTTCTACAGAAGAGCCCCACTGAGCTGACACCGTTTAGGCCGTGGGCCCTTCTCAGAAAGCCTTCACATGTCACATGCTTCCATCCCTGCTTCCTATTTCCTTAGATATTGTAATTTCACTAGCACGTGGCTCCAGCTACCTGGACTATTTCATAAGAGGGGGCTTTCATTTTGGTATTCAGACTGGATGAAATTAAATTTCTTAATCAACACAACAGGCATATAGAAATATATATGCATGCACATGGGCAAAATTTTAAGGTCTTTTGGATTACAGAAATAGTAGGTATAATGAAAATTTTATATAATGTGAAACTTGGAATATACACTATAGAATATAAGCTATAAGGAATTTATAACCCTAACAATGCTTCTAAACTTTCTTCATTTATAACATAGTGGAGATATTCTATAACCAGCCTTTTACACTTCATCTTATGATATGGACACTTTCCAATGTTGTTAAAGTTCTTTGTAAACACTATTTTTACATAAGGTTATTATTGAACTCACATGTTTATTTAATTACTCTCCATTGACACCCCTTTCCATGGCTCCAGAAGTATCTTTTCATACCCACACATGAGTACTTTCTTTTTTTAAAGAGTTTTAAGAAAATTTCAGTAACCTCTGATTTTGATCATGCAATTCTCTCTGATTTCTCTCTCAGATAATTAAAGATGCTTATGCCCTTAAGAACCTAGTGTATCTTACCTTGCTCCTGAACCCTTTCATAGAGCTCGGGTAATTACCAGAAGTTCCCTCCTCTGGCCCTATGACCGCCCTTGACCCAATCCCAATCCTGAGTCAAGTTCAAGGATTCCAGCCTTGGGGGCCAATTTTCATGGAAATGATGCCCAGCCTGCCCGGAGGGCAGATGCTTGCAGTCCTTGAAGATGGGGGTTTCATCAGCTTGACCTTCTCTCTAGGCTTAGAGCTGCCCCGGATCAATTATGCTCACAACGGGAGGCCATACCGATACGTCTTTGCTGCTGAAGTTCAGTGGAGTCCCATCCCAACCAAGGTACCCAGTCCCTGTGTGGTCTCGACTGGCTTTCTTTCCTGTAAATGATTGTACCTGTCTGCAAAGGTGAATTCTCAGGTTCTCAGACTGAGTGGCCCTGAGCAGAAAAGGGAGGTCAGGATGGAGATCCCCTTGAAGACAGGGAGTAGGTCAGAGGTAAAGCGGTGATGTGCCCTCCAGGAGAGGGAGCTGATGGGCGGGGCTCAGGAAAGAGGTCAAGGCTGCAGCTTATCTGCTGATTTCTGTATTGGATATATGTTTACTAAGCACCAACTGTGTGCTACAATTCCCTACTACTATAGTAGGCCTGGAGGATGAGGAAGTGCACAGGGGGATTCCAATCCCTGCCCTCAGGGAATTTGCCCTCTCAGGCAGAGATAGCTGAAACTTGGAGGGTTTATTTTGCCTTTTATACTACTATTTTCTGAACACTTCCTGTATCTCAGGGACTGTGCTAAGTGCTGTACAGACAGACATCACTTTTCTTTAATATCTTCATTGTTTAAAATAACAAAATGGAAAATCTGCAAACAGGGAAGAAATGTACAAACAGCAAAAAATTAAGGTTCCCACACACACGTGCACACAACCCAGGTCACTCCCCACTAAACCCACACCCTAAGGAGAGGCAGGTCTGTTAGGGATTAAGAAATGTCAGGGACTTGCTCTTTTAAAACATCAGAGGAGTTGTATTATGCTTTGAATGTTTGCATTAAATATGTCCATTTATTCAAGACATACAAAAGTTGCAGTATAGCGCCAAATGCCAGATAAATTCAGGATTTTTATTTTTATTTGAATTCTGTCTGCAGTGCCAGCCATTAGATGGGAGGAAGACCTTTGCTTAGTTGGAGGAGGAAGCTAGCTGCTTTCATTCTGTTGTTATGCTGACCAGAGGTAGTTGCCACCTGGAGTCTACTTTAGAGGGACTTAGTCCCTGCTCTGTGCACCTTGATGCCTTCCTATTCATGAATGCAGGGAATAAGCGTGCTCTCCCAGTCATTCCCATGTCTCTCCTCTTTGGGTGTACAGATACTGAAATATGATGTTCTCACAAAGGCGTCCCTAAAATGGGGAGAGGAGCACTGCTGGCCGGCGGAACCCCTATTTGTGCCCATGCCAGGTGCCAAGGACGAGGACGATGGTAAGCTTCCAGGAGGGGAAGCTGGCTTGCTGCCCTCTGATGTGACTACTCCTCAAAGAGAGACATCATCTGGGAGCAGTGACACCCCCATCACACAGCTGGTGGAGTCACACTTTGAAGCCCAGGTCCATCTGAGCCCAAAGCTGAGGGCTAGGGAGTCCCCAAGACCACCCCCACTTCTGACAGCTGTAAGTTCAGGGGTTCCCCAGGCCACCCATCTTCTACAGAAGGACTCACAGAACACACTGAACACTGTTACTCTCCTGGTTACAGCTTATTACAGGGAAAGATGCAGAGAGAAAAGGCTCATGGGGTGGAATCCAAGAGAGCGCCACCTGCGGGGCTTCCCCGAGTCCGGGGGCAGTTGGGGCCGCCCTTACTCCTCCCAACGGCATCTGTGGAGCATTGCCAGCCGGGGAAGCTCATCTGGGCACTGATGGCAGAGCTTTTCAGGGGCTTGTCATGTAGACATAGTTGACTGTCCATGTGGTTGACTTAGTGTTTAGGCCCTCTGGAATTCAAGCCAACCTGGAGGCCCAAAGTCCCCACCTCAGTCACTTTGCTCGGATAGATTATCTGCTGGCTCCAGGTAAATAAAAGACTCTCTTATCAGGCAGGACATTCGGAGGGCTTGGAGGTCACCTCCCAAAGGTCAGACCTCCCTCTGAGGGAGATTAAATTGTCACTAGAGGAAGTCCACTTACTTTCTACCAAGCAACACTACCCTCTCCCTGAGTGTAGAATCTTGGTCTTAAAATTCATTGCAATGGCTAGGTCAGAATTCTTAACTATCTCTAAGCACTTAACCTTTCCATGGAGCCCTTGAAATGTGTATTTGGGGCCCACTTCATGCTTCCTACAGGACCAAATGGTCCTTTCCCTCCTTAATTCTGCCTTTGACCCAGAAATGCCTTGCCCACACCCCTGGGGATGTCAGGAGGGTAACTAGAACCATGGGTGGGGCTGCCCACACCTGCAGGGAGGTCGGGCTGCCCCACTGAGCCTGCCAGCTGCTTCCCTCGGGTGAGAAGGGAGTGGTTTCTCTGTGGGCCTCATCTTCCCACTGATTGTGCCTGCATGGCATGACCAGAGGGGCCCAGGTCTCTGTCATCTCTGAGGTGGGGGGGTGTTGATACCACTGCCTGTGCTGAGGCTGGCCCCCCACTGGGCTGGGCCAGGGTTTCCCCACCTTCTCCCATGGGCAAGGAGTAGTGCTGTCTTCATTCCCCAAAGGAGAGGCTCAGAGAGTGAGATAACTTACCCAAGGTCACACACCCAGTGCTCACAGAGAGGGGATTTGAATGCAAGCCATCTGACTTCAACTATGCTTAACTGAAACCCCAGAGGTGTTGGGAGAAATCATGACTGTTTGCTTATGTGCATTGTTTTGTTTAATCCTCTATCTCTCGAGGGTGAATACTTAGAATATTTCCATTTTGCAGACTGGAAAGCTGAAGCCACTAGCATGCTGCATGTGCATTAAGTGAATTGGTGCATTCAAATGCCATTTGAGTGCAACTATTCTGAGTTTAGCCAAGTGACATATATTAGCCTCAGTGCAGCATCAAACTCATTCTCTATAATAGAAATTTCTAAATAGCAGGAAAAGAGCCAGTCTTCAAAGCATGCAATAATTTACAAAATGCTTTCCTCATTCACCGTGCAAGAGAGCCTCTCAGCAACCCCAGGGTAAGGAGGATTATCCTTGATCTACGAATGAAGAGACTGAGGTTCAGAGAGACCAAGGGACTGGCCCAGCCAGGGCTGGAACCAGGTCTTCTGATTCCCAGTTCCCTGGCCTTTCCCTTCTGCTCACATCGAATATCAAATACACTTCCCTTCTGTTTTGATTACTTACACTCAAAGAGGACAGGCATACAGAGCTGAGAAACACCCTCCAACTGGAGGAAGTTCAAGGTAACACTTTTACAAAGTGTCTCTTCTTTTTTCCCCAAAGGAATTATCTTATCAGCTATTGTCTCTACGGATCCCCAAAAGCCACCTTTTCTGCTTATCCTGGATGCCAAAACTTTTACAGAACTGGCTCGCGCATCTGTTGATGTTGAGATGCACCTGGATCTCCATGGGTTATTCATCCCGGACACAGACTGGGCTGCAAGGAAGCAGGTCCCTTCCCAGGAAGAGCAGGACGGGGCTTCAAATGGCCCTGGGGCCCCACAGACCTGAGGATGTTGAGGCCTGGGCCCCGGGAAAGCACATGCCCCCTGCTGGCTCCCACAGACTCGGGCTGGATTCCTGTCTGGGTGGAGGGGAGGTGCTTCATTCTGTTCTGTGCTCAATCTTTCCTTGGTTGCTTTGAGACAAGCTATGGAAATAGCACTTGTCAGTATCTTTTCTTTCATCTTATTTTGGCCTTAAAAACCCTGTTGGAAAGCCAATCAAATATTTATTAATTAACCATGGCACTTTAGAAAGTCTAAGAAAGCCCCTTTCCTGTATTATAACAACCATGGCCATGGGCCAGAAATAGTTATTAATCATATCATCATTCTTAGAGCGAGCAACCAGGCATATCCAAGAAGATACAGGTGAACATCCATCATTGCTTCTTCCTCTTCGCCCTGTACCTGCCACCCGCCGCCCGCCTCTCCTTTCCTGTGGCCCATCCTGAGCATCTGGAAGCTCTGGCTTTCTCAACCACGCCTTGTTAGTAAATTATGTGGCCAGGAAGGTATGTTGCTTTGTGGTCAGTCCATGCAAGGCCTGCCATAAAATAGAAAATAATAAAGACTTTAACATCTGTTCAGACCTTACTTTATTTTTATGTGGCTTCTTTTCTCTGAAGTTCCTCTAAGGCAATAAAATAAGAGTGCAGGATCTGGACGGTTGGTAGATGCCCCGCTGACAGCATATTGGTGTGGGAACCCCCGCTGCAGAAGGGCTAACGGGCTGGCTACTAACTCACCTGGCCATGGCCAAGGGGCTGGAGTCCAGGATTGAGTCTCAGGCCAGGGCTGGCATGAATTCTTGCCTGATGCCAAGAACCAGGGCAGGGAGCCACACCGGTGTCTGTTTGGGAAAGGAAGTCTTCTCAGGCTGGAAGAGCTGCCAGGATAGACCAGGAATTCCTAGCAGAGGTGGAAGGAGGTTGGTGGTGGGGATGGAGGAAGTTGGGAATAAGCCGTGCAGGGTCCCATGCAAGTGCTGGGAGCTCCATGAACAACTAAGTCTCACCTTTATAGTCCAGTGGGTACCTCGTGTCTGGTTTAGGGAACCATGGCAGGCCAGATAATTCCCAAATGGGTCGGGGGGTGGGGGTGGGGTGGGGGGCAGACCTCTGAAGGCTGCTCTTGGCTTTTGCCCGGCCGCCACCATGAAGCCGTGCATAACCTCCACTCAGATGCAGGCTCCACTGGGTAGGAGAGTTGGTTTTTGGTTTCCATTTTTATTGGAATAAGTGTAGATTCTCATGCAGTTCTAGGAAATAATACAAAAGAGATCCCCTCGTACTTTACCCAGTTTCCCCCAGTGGTAACATTTTAGTACAAGATCACAGCCAGGATATTGCCATTGATTCAATCCACAGATCTTATTCGGATTTCCCCACTTTTACTTGTATCCCCTGTGTGGGTGAGTGTGTGCATGTGTTGAGGTCTATGAAATTTTATCATATGTCTCTTCCTCTGTCCACCACCATCAAGACACTGTGCACACCAACACAAGGGCTCTGGTGGTGGTTCACACTCACCTTTCTCCCTCCCCAATCCCTCCTCATCCTTAACCCCTGGCAACCACCATTTCTAAAGTTTTCTCATTTCAAAAATGTCATATTAATGGAACCTCACAACATTAACTTTTGGGGGCCGGCTTTTTCACACAGCAGAATTCGCTGGAGATCCATCCAAGTTGTTCATGCTTTTATTCACCACTTTATCCTCAGCACCTAGAATACTGCCTCATGCGATGCAGGCTCTCAGTCAATGTTTGTTCAATGAATGAGTGCCCTCAACAAATAGATTCAACTCGATAATTCTACCAACAAGAAATGGATATTTTACTGAAGGTGTCCTGGGAGATGCGGAAGACCAGTCACATGGAGCCCAGTGACGTGCACAGAGCTTCCTCCTGCTGACATCCCGCCCCCCTGCTGACCCCTCCGGACCTCCTCTGTAATCCAGCATTTCCATTTCACAGTCCAGCTTATGGATCCAAATCAAACAAAAATCCGAACCCTGGAGACGGCAGAATGCAGACCATCGGCTCTTCCTCAGACTCTCCTTTGGGGACCTCAGCACCTCCAGCCCTGATGAGATGACTGGGAGGAAACGTCAGCCTTGGTGGTCTAAGACAAGCACGAGTGAGGTCTGCACTTGGGTGGCAGGAATGGGAAAGAGCTGGCAAATGTGACAGCCACGGAACTGTTCATCATCCTACTTTAAATATTTGAGAAGAAGGTGGAATTAAAAAATGTTTCCCCACCCCCATTCTACTCAATCATATTGCCAAATAGTACCCAGAGCTAATCACGAAAAAGGGTGCAGTTCTGTGGGGAAGAAAAATATGTCCGTGGTTTGTTTACCTTATTTAAGATGACGGGCGGAATACCGGACTGATGAGGAAACCCGGCACACCACGTCTCTCCCTCGGTTTCAAAAACACCAATGGTCAATGCCAGGGTATCCAATTTACCTTGATCCTTACTTCCATCATATTTCACACAGAGGCCAATGTAATTAGCTCAAAACGCCACAGGAACCAAGACTCACGCATCTTTCTTGAAGGCACTCTGAGAAATGTCCTTCTTACCCTCCAGGCCATCCTTGTTATGCTTCATGTGGGTGTGATGCGTGGCCGGGAAGTTCTGCAGGGAACAATTGCTCCAGACCTGTTTCTTGCTTTGGTAAAGCCACGGCGTTTCATAAGTGCTCTAAGATGTGTCAGATACACGGTAAACCCTTAGATGTTCTGTGACCCACTAACTTTTTTCTTCAAGGATTTCTGTAATTTGATTGCAATTCAGGAATAAGCTGGACATATACTTGGACAAGTCAACCCATGAAAAACCTAAATGCATTTGAGTTATATCGGAATTATTAGTTCACACTTACTTCCTCCCAACCAGTTACCAAGCGTTGGGCTGACTCCATTAAGGAGGTGGCTGGTCCCGCGTAAGTACAAACACCTTTGATTACTTAAGCTGTTTAAAAACTGTTTGGGTGGTTTTTAAATGGCCAAGAGAAGTCTTTCCCATGGCAAATCAGGACATCCAGAGAGAAAAGTCACTGCCGCCTTATCTTCCAACAGTGCCGAGGAGACCTCTGGCCTCTACACTTCAACTTCCTCCTAGGAGTTTAGACTCAGCGACCAGGTGCAGACGCACGCAGAGCTGAGACCAGCAGCTGGGCCACGGCCGGGAACAGTCTCTGGAGGTCAAGCACCAGCCAAGAGGCTGGCATTTTCCTGGACAAGGCGAGCAAAGAGAGATGGGTGTTGGCGCAGGGTGGGAGTGAGCCAGCCTTCTGGCCTCCTGGCGATCGGGAAAGATACACAGAGGCGTGTGCCTTGGGGAGCTGCCTGTTTGCAGGGAATGCCTGACAAAGCTCTGGTCCTTGAAGGCTGAGGGTGCAGCTCTGGAAGAGGACTTGGAGGTGGAGGTGGGTGACTGAACAAAGCAGGTGTAGAGTTAATTCCTCAAGGAAGAACAGTGAAAAAGAAACACCAGGGGGATTTTTTTCCTCTGATTACAGAGGTCATATATGTTTGTTATAGAACACCTGGTTATATATTTTTTTTTAATGAGAAAGACACCCGTAGTCCCACTACCAAAACAGAACCCCTGAAATCATTCTGGGGTGTTTTTCCCCCCAGTTTTTAAACTTTTCTGTGCACAGTTTATGTTTTAGTGATCAGTTTATAACCTACTCACCAGTTTAAACCTGCTTTTTTCATTTAGCAAGTATTTTCCCAGATCACTAAATTCCTCTAATGGGAACATATTATTCTATCTTCAGGACATGGCATGATGTATCTATCCTCTCCCGCTGTTGGACATCTAGGTTGTTTCTTATTATTTACTGTTATTAATAATGCCAGAGTACTCACTTATGCCTGTGTTTCTAGAGTTCACCCCTCTTTCTGACTCTGTATTCAGGTGCTTGTTACTGTTATTTTCTTTGGTTAGATTCCCAGCTTGGGATTTCTTAATGAAAGAGTAGGAAAACAAGGTTTGGGGGCTTCTTTGAAAGGTCAACGATTTTGGTTTGATCCATAGGAAACTGAGAGGCCATTCTAGAATCAGAGAGGCTCAAATGGTCAAAGTGGCTCGAATCCACATTTCTCAGGAGACAAAAAAAATGGCTACATGTAATATAATGTTAGTCTAAACCCTCCCTCCTACCTCTTCCCTATTCTTTCTTACCCTCTCTAACTTTCCACTCCATACAAATGCTTGTTCTGTTTCAGGTATAGTCACTTCATTCATTCATGCATTCATTCAGCAATAACCAAGGCTGTGTTGGCATCTAATGGTGAGCAGACCCAGTGTCTTAGCCGTCCTCGGGGGGCATAGAGCACAGAGAAGGACGCCACACCATGGGAGCAAGTCAGCAGATTCTGTGGAATGGTGGTGAGAAAAGAGGATGTGCCAGGAGGCGCCCAGGCTGCCGTGGGCCCCAGGCCTGGTTGCACGTGGATGGCAGCAGGTAACAAGGTGAAATGGGCCATCGGGATAGAGAAAGGGGCATGGGCCTAGGCCTGGGATCAGGAGAGCACTTGGTGAATTTGGAAAACTTGGACTGTGGGGTAGAAGGTGGACAGAAAAGCAGTTTTAGCCGGCCCCACAATCTATCCATACTCGGGTAAGAAACAGAATTGGCGTTAACTCAAAAGGAGTCCCCAGTGGCTTCTTCAAGGACAATCAAGGATGGATAGTCATTTTTTAAATCGTTTTTTTTTTTTTGAGATCTAACTCAGACACCATAAAATGCACTCTACTTAAAGTATACAATTCAATGGTTTTAGTACATTCAATATTGTGTAACTATCACCACTGTCTAATTTTAGAACATTTTCATCATCCAATAAGAAATGCTGTACCCACTGGCAGTCACCCCTCATTCTCCACCCCCACCCCCAGTGCTGGGCAAGCACAAATCTACTTTCTATCTCTATGGATTTGCCTGGGCCGGCCATTTCATATAAATTGAATCATGCAATATGTGGGTTTTTTGTGATTGGCTTCTTTCACTTAGCACAATGTTTTCGAGGTTGAAACAACCTGTGTTGCTGCATGAATCAGCACTTCCTTCCTTTTGTGGCTAAATAATATGCCACTGTATGAACAGACCACATTTTGTTTATCCGTTCATCAGTTGATATCCTCTGGATTGCTTCCTCTTTAGGGCTGTCATGAATATGCTGCTGTGAACATTCATGTACAAGTTTGTATGTGGACATATGTTTTCATTGCTCTTGGGTGGGTACCTTGGAGTGGAATTGCTGTGCCATATGATCACTGTGTTTAACATTCTGAAGAACTGCCAAGCCCTTTTTCAAAGTGGCTGCACCATCTTACATTCCCAGCAACGTAGCAGAGTCTCTGTATGTCCACAACCTTCCTAATTTGTCTGCTCTTTTTATTCTAGCCATCCTACATAAAGGAAATGGTATCTCATTGGGGTTTGGATTTGCATTTCCCTAATAACTAATGATGGATATTGAACATCTCTCCCTGTGCTTATTGGCCATTTGTAGATCTGTGGGAAAGTATCTACTCAAATCCATTGCCATTTTAAATTGGGGCATTTGTCTTTTT